AGAAGGTGTGAAGCCCATCCCTATTAACCCTGAAGTGATTTTTAGTGCCTGTGGGAGAGCTCAGCCCTCTGTCCCTGCAGCAGGGAGGGCAGGGCACCAGCAGGGAGGGAAACCCCCACCCCTGCACCTCAGTTCCACGTGAAGGATGGGCCCCCATGGCACAGGGATGTCATCCAGGCCCTTCTGCGCCTTCCCAGAGAGGCTGACAAGTTGCCAGCTGTGCTTGGGCCTTGGCTTTTTGTTAAAGAACAGCTCCAAAAGCCTCATTTTTTCTCTTGCAGCATGTGGCAGCTGATCCATGCTGCCCTTCAGCACCCACCAAAGCAGGGTGCCCAGTGCTGAGCTGGTGCCATGACCCAGCTGGAGACACTGGACACTGGTCTCCATCCCAACCATCCACTCCAGTCCCCTCCATTCCCTCCCCAGCAACAATCACTATAAATAAATTAATAAAACGTGCAACACACGCCAGACCCTTCCCAGGACAATTAGGAATAGTTTAGGAAAAGGAGTTTAGTTAAAAGTAGAAGGAATTGGACCCAATGTCTCAGATTCTAAAAGAACCTGAGCTGAAAGACCTCATCCCATGAGCCCAAAGGGAGCACAGGACCATGGAGGCAGCAGCTGCAAGCAGCACATGGTTTGTGCTCCCAGCTTTTCGTGCTGTTCTGAGAAGTTTCCCTTCTAGGAACAAAAAAATTCTGTCCCACCCTCATGACACTGCATTTTTAATTGAATTAAGATGTTCATTTGAATGACATGAAATTTTCTTTTGACCATTTAAGAGGTTTCATTTGAAATACACGTAAATTTCTTTTGACTGGTTCTCTCTATTAGAAAAGGGGTGGGGGGGAAGGTAAAAAACCAAAAAAGCAAATTTTTCAACTAAAAAACTCACACCAATTCTCCCCTGTACCACAGAGGCTTCAATTAAACCACAGCTTCAGTAAACTCAGTAAAGCATTAAGAGTAACAAGTACACAAAATAACCTCCTCTAAAGAGCTTGAATCTTCAAGAACACAAAGAAAACTAAAAAAAAAATCAAAAGGTCATTGCCATTTGATGAATTTATATCCAAAATTACACAACTCACCTACAATGAGAGATAAAATCTGCAGTAAAGTGATTAATTAAATTAATTTGCATCTTCCACGACCTCTTAATCCTCATACCAAGGTTCTTTTTATTTGCATAAGCAGGGTAGGAAAGGCAACAAACTGAGTAATTCTAGCACAGGTGTAACAAAATACAGTTTCCAATTCAAAGTGCCATCTTCAAAGGAATGAGCTTCCACCCTTCCATCCAAAAGTTCCCCAGCACCTGCACCTTGTATCCCTGCCTGTAATTTCCATAAAGGAAACACAAAGTTCACTCTCCAATTTCAAGGAACTACCAGGAACATCAAGAACCAGCACTTCAGCCATGAGGGAAGGAGGAAAAAAGATAATATTTACATATTTGATGTCTCTTCAACCAACCAATTCCACAGATACCAACTTCCAACGGCAAGCAGAAATCCAGGATGAATCCACCAGAGCTGGGATCCACCACAGGAACACCAGAACCAACTTAGCTCTCCCTAATTCTGGTTGTGCACACAAAGTTAAAGCTTGCTGTGACATTTTGAGAACTGATTATGGCTCATGTTGTCCAAAACCTTGGAGTGCAAGTGCTTCTGGATTAAAAATGCAATCCCAGGTCCCTCCAGCCCTGTGCTCCAGTGGAATTCCCAATTTTGGACTCCTGCAGCTCTGCAGGATCTGAGCTGTGCCATCCCTGTTAAATCAGAGGCATCACTCTGAAATCCAATTCTGTCCAGAGTTACACTGGAATTCTGGCTCAGAACATCACAGGAACCAAAATGTTCCAATGTATCCTGCACACCTCTGCCAGCAGGAGAGGGCACACACTGCATTTCAGTGGAGAAGTTCCCTTTCATATGGAAACGTTCTCATTTCTAAGAGGGAGTGGAAAAATAACTGCAAGGGCCTTCGGATCTAAATCCAGTCCCCAGAGCAAAGGTCACTGCAAAAATGTTTTATTCAGCATCAGAACTTTTGGAATTCTTTCAAGGAGAAGAAAAAACCCAACAACAACAACAACAGGGCTGACATTTTTTTCCCACTGAACTATTTCTTGCTTTTCAAACAGGGTTAAAGTCCCCAGGATTTGGTGAACACCAGTGAATTGTGTCTCCCTCCAGCACACAGCAGGTAAAAAAGTGGGGAGAGAAACAAATAAAGGGGAAATCACTATATTGATGATGGTCTTACAGTTGAACTCAATGATCTTCGGGACTTTTCTAATCTCAAAGATTCTGGAATTTTATTCCATGGAAATGCTGATTCACTTTGCCCACACTGCTTAGGCAGAGCTCTGTACAACACAAAGATGAATTTGCAATTCTCCTCGCTCCATTTTCCTTTTTTCCCTTCTCCAGAGACATGAGACAGTGTTACAGCCAGGTTGGTACCTGGCAGATTTTTACATTGACCTATCATTTCACACCAGGGAAAAACACCTGTATTTCAATCACTATTTAAAGAAAACCTGTAGTTCATTTTAAATTAACAGCAACCCACCATGAAGGCATCACTGAGCTGAAAATAGCACCATATTTATTGATCCACATGGCTGCAAGGTGCACTTCAGAAATTATATTCACCTGCTGCCAAGTCCCTAAGCAGAGGTGTTTTCCTTTAAAGAAGCTATAGAAAGACCCTCTAAATAAATCAAAGCTGCTGTCCAGCTAGTCCAGAGCACACAGGACTCTCCTTGTTTGAAAGATAATAAAAAATGACCCCACAGGGTACATTTTAGAGGAGTGGAGAGTGCAGTTCAGCTCCTGAGCTGTTGTACTTTGGTGCTGTGGAGGTGTGTGAGGATGACAGAGGAGCCAAGGATTTCTCTGTGCACAGACAGGCACAGCACAGCTCTGTGGCTTTATTTGCATTACATGTGCTGATGGAGATGTAGCACACAGGATTATCCCTCACTCCTCAGGCCCTGCTTCGCTGGGGGAAGAGGCGGAACAGAAATAACTGTGCAGAAAGAACTCTGCCAGAAGGAGGAGTCACTCTCTTGATGCTGCACCACCAGTTAGTGGTAGAAAAAAGAAAAATATTTAGCTTTGAGTTTTGCTTCTTTCAGCAAGCCAAGCCTCCTCCAGACAGCAGGGCAGAGCTGGGATAAATTCTTCTCTCTGCGGCCTAAATCTGATTTAGTGACTGCCTTTAACTGAATGGAGCAGCTTTATCAGGCTGCACCCCTGATTGATTTCCCTCATCTACCCTCACTGAGCTCCAGAGTTCACCTGGAATGGAGACACACACACAGAAAGGGAAGAACCAACACACAAAAAGGAGCTGCCAGACTGAGCCTGGAGGAGGCTTCCATGCCAAGGGAATGTCTATTGTTGTTAGCAGGGCAGGCAGGAAAAAGGTTCTGGGCTCAGAACAAATTAGGAGAGGTCTAGACAAAGTTAGGAGAGGTCTTAGAGCAAAGTAGAAAAGGTTGGGACTCACTGAGCACAACAGGTGATTTGTGATGCACGTTTTACACACAGTTGTTAGAAAGAAAAACCCTGTCCTTTCTCACAGTTTCCATTTCATTTTACATCAGCAGATCCCAAAGCCCCCCCAGGAAGCATCAGAATCTTCACTTTGCATGAGGATAAGCAGCTGGCTCAGGATTACAAATTCAGCTGGGGTAGGAACTGTCCCTGTCAAGGTCTCAATCCAGGGGCAAATCCAGGGCCTTCCATCCTGAGCTGCTTCCCAGAAAATTCAGACTTCAGGCTGGAAAGTTCCCAACTGCACATTCATACCAAGCATCAACACAGCCAAAAATAAGCTCGAAATTTCATAGGAAAGGTCAAGATGGCACATCCAGGACTTCTGCTCCCCAAAGAGCCCATTTCATTGCTCTGGATTGCTCTGGCCCCAGCCACAGCTTGTGAGCACAGAATTAAAAGGCAAAACTATGGGGTAAAGGGAGAAGGAGAACCCATCGCCTCATCAGAGTTCCAAAATTATTTAGATTAACTCTGTGATTAAAAAAAAAAAAAAGGAAATTATTGCAGATCTTTATTCAAACCAGCTTTACTGCTCTGAATGCCAAAACAAGTCCACCAGAAATACTGTGACAAATAAAGCTCATTAGGGAGGAGATAGAACAGGCCAGACACAGGCAGACAAAAACTGGCTCTAAAATCAATCCACTCCACCATCAGCTCTCTTGTAGCATCTGCTTCAGGGAAAAGGAACCCTTTAACAGTTACTACAGAATAATCTGGGGGAAAACATTTTCTTGCTGGCTTTTCCTCATTTGCTGTTCCCCTTCTGGAGCCCTTGTATGTGTGCTCCTTTCTGAAGCAGCTCTGCCTGGTTTTGTTTTCCCTGTCTGAGCCTTGCTGAACTCCAGGTTTCAAACCCTTCCATGTCAGTGAGTTCCACAAGGAAGTTTTCTAAGCTCCCCCAAATACACACAATTTTTGCAGTGCCACTTCATGGTTTAACAAACTGCTGTTCTCCCCATTTATGTTATTGACCTAAAAACTAGCAACAGAACCTAAACCTGGAACCGAAACTGAGCGATACACAAAGCTGTTCTACATAAAATTGCTCACAATCCCAAACCTGTCAGATTTAATGTTGCATTTTTGCCTTTCTACCCCTCCCTTTCTCCCCACATTTCTACAAAAATATTGCTCTTTTGTTAAAGAACATTAGTGAAGCTGCCAGGCTGCTCAAAGCTTTATCTGTCTCAGTAATCCAGTTGGATCCCATCCCTGGTGAGGAGAGAATGTTCCAGGTGCACACATGGAATATTTGGTCACAATAAAAACAGAATTTCATTTTAAAAATAAACATAAATTTTGTCAAGGTCCCCAAATGGCAGACATCAACAAATAACCAGTGAGAAACAATCTCTGATGATTCAAAGTGAAAGACAACAATTTTGGGATGCTTTTGCAGGAAAATGGGAATTCATCTCCTACCTGTCAATGATCACAGGGTCAGATGGAGTCTCATTTCTGTTGCCACAGCTTTTCTTCTCACAGCACCGACTGGAGAGGGAAAGAAAAGCAAAATTAAAGAACCAGTGGGACAGGTGAGAGCAAAGAGCCAGCTCAAAGTCTATCAGAAAACCTTCAGCACTCGATATATGCCTGGAAGGGTAAAAATTCTGCTTTCCAGAAGGGAAAATTAAAGGAATTGGGTGCCTGAGTCCTGGTGCCTAAGTCCTGGCTGGTTCAAGCTGGAGTTTGGCACTTAGCTCCCTGTAATATATTCTGAATTACCCAGCCAAAAATGAACAGCAATATGGCCACACTTGAGACTGAGGTGATATTCATAAAGGTCTAATAAGTGATTAACAGATGTCATAATGTCATTACAGGCAGAACTAAATGGGTTATATGGGGTTAAAAGTCCATCAAAAGGTGTTAGAACTGACTATAAGCAACCTAATGGTTTGGTATATTCCAATAATATTTTTTATATTACTGTATTTTTTTTATTATTAAATATCTAAGTTTTATATGGTTACTGAAAACTTCAGCACTCCATGAAAAGCCAGAAACTGAACATATTTAGATCCTACAAAGGATCTGAAGAGATGCTTTTCAGGTTGGCTTTTTCAATCCCTTTGCAATTGCTTCAGTGATAAACCCTTAAGACTAAGTATTAATTTATACATATTCAGTGGTAATATTAATTATAATAAATAATAATAAAAATTTTTAAATCAATAGACAGCATTCTATCAGTGGTAATATTAATTATAATAAATAATAATAAAAATTTTAAAATCAATAGACAGCATTCTATCATATCATTATTTCCATTGATATAATCACTGACATGGGTGATGCTCCTGCACACACAGTAGCTGAGTACCAGGAGTTAAACAGACTTTAAAAACAGTCCTTGCTCTGAAATCCTCACTTTTAATAATCTGAAGCAACAGAGAAGATTTAAGCTGTTTTCATGCTCAGGTTTTTTGTTCCAGTCAAAGCCAACATGGGACAGGGCGGATGGACATACCCAAAAGTTTAAAAAGTCTTTATCAGAAGTCCCACATCCCTCAAAAGTCACCAGATCAGATGCCTTTCTAGAAGATATTTTCCATATTTTGCAGAGGTTTCTGTTCAAATTTACACACATGGGATGAAGGAATTTTGGGGGGTTTTTGTACAGGGGTGCTGAATACATCTGTAAAATTCTCAAGCATTCTGAGTATCAGAGCTTCCCAACTGGGGAGCAATTCCAAGCACAATAAGATTTTTTTTTTAAGTAAATATATAAATACTAAAATAAGAAAGAAAATAAATACTTTAATTCATTAAAGGCAGAATAAAATATTAAAGTGGGGAATTTTTTTCTTTATATGCCTAATATTTAATTATAAATGCCTAAAATGAGCATTTAGACAAAAAACCCTCTTTCAGCTATGAAAAATCCCAACATTTCCTCCGATTTCCAGGAAGTTCCTGCTCTGGGGCTGGAATTGCCCATCCACATGATCTGGAAGGAACAGATCTATTTGAATAACAGCTCTAACTGTTTCAACATTCCTACATTCCCCTTGCCTCAAACCTGCACTTATTCATCGATGCTACTCCTTTTAAAATAAAAGGATACACTAAATATTTAAAAATCCCTGGGGCAGTCCCTGTAGCTGCTGTAAATTGTCATGGCTCCATCGACTTCAGTGCAGCTCTGGTAATTCACACCAGCACAGAACATCACCCTCCCTCCCTCTCCCAACTTTATTTTAAGTGCATCTTTTATGGATTTCAGTGCCTAATCAGAGTTTAGAAAGAATGGAGTATTTTTATACCAGGAGCCAAGATGGGAATGCTTTCTAAAGGAGAAAATTATAATAAACCCCCCCAAAAAAGCAGAAAATCCTCTCAAAGGAACATCAGTTTGGGATGTACTTTGACATGTCCAGTATAGCAACACATGGAAAAATAACATTTGGAATAAAATCTTTGCTGCTTTACAGGCCATTATAATAAAGCAAAAGAAAAAAAAATTCTGTAGTGATTCAAGAGATGGTGGCACTTCTTGACAGAGCATTTTAGGATGAATTCTGTGAGACTGAGCACAATGTGGCTGGGTTCAGAGGCAAGTGCATCTTGTTTTATTTTTATTTCCACTATTATTGCAGTTCTGAACTTTGTGTTTGTAATATTCAAATATTTTCCCTCTAAAACTGTGGCTTGCAGCCGAAGTTCTCCAAATAATTCACTGATATCTACATGCCTAGCACAGTTGGGGAAAGATCTTTGTAAGTGATAGACTTTTTCCACTTTGACCGTGGTATTTTCTGAGCCCAAATATATGAAAAAAAAATCTTGATGAGGGAGAAGAGCCACTTCCAGTGAAGGAATTACTGTTTGCACATAAATCAGAGTGGGACTGAGGATGTCTCAGCCCAACATTATAGCAAAAATACCTCTTAAATCTTTAAATCCCCATTTCCAAGAGTTTCACCCCATATCCAAGCAGTAGCATTTCCACTTGGTTGGTTTCACAAGTGCTGTCTGTAACAGAATTGACTGGTTCCAATTTCAGTCCAAGCCAAAACCCCCAAACTCTGGTGGTCCAGGATCAAGCCTTCAATATTCTCTTCAAGCAAATTATTGGCATGACTTCACCAACATTTACATTTCTGCTGCAGTGTTGGGCTGGGAACACACTTTTAGAGATGCTCATTTGCTTAAGACAAGAATATCAAGGCTTAAGATGATTTTCCATATCTTTTGTTGTAATATTTTCTCCTCTAGTGAGATCTACATGGTGAAAATGATGGTTTATGTTAAGAATGGTCCAGAAAAAACTAAAACCAAACCCAGGAAGTTCCCAGGGAACAACCCCAGCCCTACAAACTGAGCACCCCAGAAACCCCATGCCAAAGCCAAACTTCCATCCTTTCCTCTCCTCGCACTTGACTAAAATGGTTTTAAAATTCATCCCTCAACTTCCCTCCCCTCACCCCAACACAAAAAAAAAAAAAATTAAAAAAAAAAATCTGTCTCTAATTTCAAACTCAAATAAGCTCACAGCATGGTGGCCTTTGTTTTGTTTTCTTCTGCCCAACTCCTCCCTGCAATTGCATAACAAAAGTGTCTAAATTCACACCATCTGGCCGATAAAGACACGGGCCCCAGTGGCCGCCTGGCCCAGCTGATTAGAGCTCCCATCTAGTCTGAGCCTTGTGGCGAAAGTCACAGCTGTGGGGCTCACTCCACTCAATACAACTCTGTTATTAGCCAGCTGTAGACCCTGAGACTACTTCTGTTCGAATTATAATACCTTTTAACCCTCTGAGCATTGAGGGCGTAGGGGGTTGCTGGCAGCAGCATAACAACGAGTTTCCTCTTAGTGGATAATTGGAAGAAAAGGAAGAAGATGGGGGGGGGGGGGGGGGGGGGGGGGGGAGTTATTCCAGGAGAGGAAGGTGTTTTACCTTGATTTCCAGCCCTCAGGATGCTTTATCCACACAAACACACCTAATAGGAACTGTTCCTATTAGGCCATAAGAAGGAAATGGAAAAAAAAATTCAGATTGGAAATGAATAAATGGAGGCTCGCACTGGAAGCCCTGAAAGCACTAATTATTGAGAGCTGGACTTTCAATGGCTGTGACAGATTGGTGCAGCCGTATCAATATTTAGACAACTTTCCTGCTAAGCAGGCATCTGTCACCATCTGAGGGAGAGACGGGCACTTGCCGAGGAGCTCGTCTCCACACAGCAAAAAATATCTTCATGTGTGGTTATGTACAGAAAAATCCCCCCTAAAAAACCCTACCTTCAACTAGGGAGGACTGGAAGAGGAGCAGAAAGACAGACAGACCCTTCTTGTTTTCCTTTTCAGAAGCAGTAGGCATCAATTTCGACAGCAGAGTGGGTACAGTGCATTAAAATTTTATGTACTGTTCCTAATGCAAACTAAACTAGAGGCTTTAAAAATTGATGCTGCCACTTAAGCAGCACACAATGAGGAAGATTTGATTATTGTACTTAAAAGAAATAAAATAAAATGTCAAGTTTAACTAGAGTTGGAGCCATTCCCCTGGCATTATTCAAAGTGATGTGTGTAATGCCTCTTCAGAATACACAGCGTCCTGCTCAGAGATACTTCAGGAAAACACGACATTTAAAATCAAATGTCTTCATTAGGTTACAGAGTGCTTTTGATTCCCTTCACTAATCTGTGTTTTACATGGAAGGACGTCCCTGAGTTGTAATTCTTCCTTGGTTAATCTATCAAGCAGCAGAGCTGAGAATAATCAGAATAATAGCTTAGATTTGTGCAATGCTACCTTAAATCAAGCACAGAGGAGGTTCACTGGAGCTCAGAAATATCAAAGTTGAGCAGAGCATTTGATACCATAAAGGCAGGGAGAGGAAGCAGGGGGAAAGCCCAAATTAATTTTAAATCAAACATGTCCATTTGGATGAGAAGGTGCTGAAATACTTGAACTTCCAAACCAGAACTGCGCTCTGTGCAGGGAGAGTGGAGACAAGAAATGGGCTCACTGCTCTTATGTTATCACAAACCACAACCCAATTGCACAAGAAATCAGACTTTTCTTCTCTAATTTTCACTGGTTATAGTGAAACCTTTCAATAGCATGGATGGATATATTTTTATATATATATATATATATATATATATATATATATATATATATATATATATATATATACATAATTATATACACAAGTTCTAAATGTGCCAGAAAGTCCCTTCTACACCTTTGATCTTTGCCACTACATCACCAGACCCTTGTAAAGCCCACCCAGTGCAACCCTCGTATGTGATATACATTGTGTTTGGGCATAAATATGAAAATACTGGTCGAAAGCTAATTTACTTGATTAAGGAGAGCTACACTCAACAGAGAAATAATACATTTGTTTCATACTGAACACCTGATTCATATTCTGTTAAAAAGTAACAGAATTGTTGACATAATTAAGTACTGAAACTAAGACTTCCCCTTGATAAAAATTCTGTCCAAATAGGCTTCTCTCACTGCTACATTAACTTAAAAAGGGTACTTTAATTAAAAAAAACAACAATCAGGTAGCAAGCTGAGCCATTAAAAGAAGCAACATTGCGTCCAGCAGCTTAACCCTCTCCCACTGATACAATAAATCACAAACTGCGTATAATAAAGGTCACGAATGGGTTTTGTCTCTTGTTTTATGAACGTTCTATGCACATTTTAGCACATTTTAATACAAGAACATTGACTGTTTGCATTATTATATGTATTGAAAAAAAATTTAATTACCTGAGAACAGGAAAAGTAATAAGTTACCATGGAAGCATGACATACATACATAAGGTACATGTAAGTTCAGACTTATACAAAAGTTATTAAAAACTTCCTCAAGTCATTTCACCCTCTAATTTATAAATTTAAATGCTAAAAATAGTGTCCTTTTTTTGTTTTAATTAAAAAGTAGAAGGCCCCTAAATATTGTTCACATGTAGAGAAAGGAAGGGTTTGAGGGTTTTTTCTTGTGGGGTAGAACTGCCCAAAATTAAAGAACATTAATGATGCCACTTTAATTGAGAAAATGAAAATATTTCACCAAAGGAAATTGCATTAAGAACATCCTGCAGTTTCCAGGCAAAAATATATAAATTAAACTTCTCATTCTCATAAGGTGAGCAGAAATTTTATGAACAATAAGCATATAAAAGTCTTGATTTAAACAACACATGCAAAGGCCTACTTTAAACAGAAATAGTGCAGCTGTGGTTGCTGAATCTCCATCAGGAAAAATTAATAGCAAAAAAATAGGAAACCTCCCCCAAATATCTGTTTTGAACCCAAGCAAGCATTACCCACATAAAGAGAAAGTCTTCCTACACAAAGACCCTCTCTGAGCCAGCAACAAAATAAACAACAAAATCAAAATCTCCCTACTTAAAATTTCCTTGGAGAGGCTCTTCCAACATTTTGGGAAGCAAAGGTCACAAAGGATGTGTTAATCAAGTCATCTTACCTGCACATGACTTCGTGGGTGAGCAACACTCTGCACATCTCGGGGTTCTTGTTCTGGCCTTCGTAAGTTATAGGCTACAAAAATTAAGAGAAGGGGTAAGCCAGGAACATCAGGGGTTATTTATTCCTTAGAATCCTCAGATGTGAGGGGAAGGGATTTTACCACTGCTCACCATCACCTGCAAATAAACATCTTCCCCTTTATGTGCAGGGAAAACAGCTTTACATAAATATTGCTACAAAGTGGATAAAAACCAACAGTCCATAGAGGGAAAAATAAGAGACTTAAGAGCACAATTTTCAATTACTCTCCAAAACAGGTCTGCAATACAGCTGAGCAAGAGACCAAAATGAAACAGAGAAGGAAAAACATGCAAGGAAATGTTGAGCAAACAGGAAAGATGAGGTGGGACAGGACAGCATGGCACAGATCAGCCCTGCTCACCTGCTTGGTGACAGAATCAATGAGCCTCACATAGAGATCCTGTTCTGTCCTGACACCTAGAGCGAGGGAGAACAGGGATAAATAACATTCCACAGGCATCTTGCCGTAAGAGCAGCAGAACCAGCCCAGCCGGTGCCGTATCGGGCACCCTCGGCATCCCAGGTAGTTCTGTTTCCCAAGCCCATCTAAACTCCAGGGCCCATCCCTGAACTCAAGGGGCCTCATGCAAGGGAATTTCAGTATATTTTGGAAACCACAGCACCTACAGCCAGACCCTGCCTCGCTGCACAGCCCCCAGGAGGTGCCAGGGAAGGGCACTCACCATTGCTGTAGAGGAGCTGGAGTTTGTAGTGTGTGCCGTTGTTCGTCTTCTCGTTGCCTTGCTCCTGAAAGGGAATTTGAAAAAACGGGGGGGGGAAAAATCCTTCCAGAACTTACACTTGGCACATTTAAAATGCAAGAGCTGATAATCATGATGGAAGTGACAACAAAGTTGATTAAAATTCCAAGAGGTGAATCCACTGATTGGGATGTATTAACCTTCCGAGTGACCCAGGACAAACTACAAAATATTCCTGACATCTTTTCCTGTAGGAGTTCAAGAACTTCTTTCCCTCTTTTATTTGCCATTATGCTCTCAACTTTTTCAAGGGAATACATTGAGAAGAATTTGTGCATTTCAAATAATTTAATATAAAGCAGATTGACACCAGGACAACACAATGGCTTTTGATTTTACTGTGATCATTGCTTTTCAGTAGTGTTACTTTGACTCAAAATTGATATTTATTTCCTGAAGGTTGTGTTACAGGGATATTTCTTAGGTCCTTTTTTAATATAATTTCCTGTAAAATAATTATTTATGATTCACAGTTCAAAAAAATCTTGTTCATGGCTAAGAAAATAACTGAAAAAATGCAAAGTGGTCAAGACATGGAATTAAAATCCAAAAGCAAATGCTTTTCAAGTCCTGCCATTGACTTTGGAGCCTTAGGAAATACATATAACCACACTCAACAATAATCTGACATATTTACAGGTCAGATTCCACTTCTGTTTGGGTACTAATAAAACCTGGCAGATGTGGTAGGTAAAAAAAGCTAAATGCATTTATCCCCCATGAATTTTATTTATTTTAGTTTTAGTGGGTGAAAGAAATTCATGATACAGAGCAGAGGCTTCCAACCCTTTTTAACTACAGCAGCACACAGAGGGTTACAGCTCTACCACAGCACCTGAACCTTGACCAAACCATGGTTATATATTTTAGGGACAACAGGTATTAGAAGCTGGCAGCTCAGTGGGGGGAGAAGATCAAAATTGGAGAGGAAAAGAAGAAGAAGAGTAAGGAGCCTTACTTTATCATTTTCTACAAAGTCCACAAAAGCTGTCCTCTCTATTTCCACGGGCTGCCCCTGTCTGTCGTAGAGAGCCAGAACAAAGTGAAAGAAATTGGATTTCCTCAAGTTGGAGGGTGGCTGCTTTTCAAAGTGGGCTCTGGACAAAGCTACTCCGCTGTGGAGGAAACACACGGGATGGGGTGAGGGGGGAGAGACAAAGACATTACCAGGTTGTGCAGCAGTAACGGCAAAACAACAACAGCAAAGGCAGAGCACGCCCGGACTGTCCCTGCCAGCGCCGGGCTGCGGCAGGGGCCGTGGGCACCGGAACCCCAATTTCAGCGTGGCCCCGCTCCCTGCATACCCCGGGACAGGCTGATTTACAGAGAGGGGTTAGTGCTAAAGGAAGCGAGCGTTTTCCTTCCTCCACTTCTTTCCCTGCCTGTCACCGCTCCTTGCTGGAATGCGGCAGGGTGGGAAGTGCTCTAACGTGTCAGAGGGTCTGGAAGTGCTCTTTGCACATCCTGGTCCTGGTCCCTTTTCCTGGAGGAGAAAACAAGCGACCCTAAATATCTTTCCTACGGGCAGGATGTCAACTCGGGGACACCTCGTTTGGGTCAGAGACAACGACTTTCGAGCAGAGCAGCCACTTCCCTCGGCGGCGAAGTTTGACTTTAGTCACTGACTTGAACTGATTCCTATGAATTGAATCTCGGACTTAAACTGAAAGAATTTAGTCCCGGGTTAGCAAGCCCTTGAGAAAATCTTGTCCCTGACTGCAGAAAATGTTGTGATGTTTCCCACGCATTTCCCGGCTTCGAAAGATTCAAATGCTTCTGTTTACCCACGATATCCCTGACTGCAGCTTTATTTCTTTGTCAAATTAGTTGCAGTTCCCTCTCCCTAAAGCCAATTTCTACTTACTGAGAAGAAAATAGGTGAGGTATGAGCACCTCCAAATTACTTAATAGACAGATTAAGTCTATGTGCCAGACTAGTTAGGAGTTGGACAGCTTTGGGTTTTAGTCCCCAAAATAGATCCACGGCACTGGCAAAAGTATTTGACTCTTTCAGAGCACTACAGATGTTTCCCTGTGTTTTCCTTGCCAATGAGGTACGGTGTGAAATCACCACATCCGCCACAACTGCACCTAGCTTGGGGATTCCTCTCACTCTGCGTGTAAAAATTGGGATTTATTGGTTTGTTAGGAATATCTGGGAGAAAAACCTGGCGATGCCAGCAGGCAGCACAACACAGCTGCACTTCCACCGCTCCCGTGAATTGGAGTCTTGTCAGGAGCTGTTTCCTTTTACTTTCAGTTTCCTCGAGGATAAACCTCTTCCCCCTCAACCGTATTTATTAAACACTCTATCGACATTCATGAAACTCTGATAACTCCTCCCATGGTGCTTGGAAAACCTTGCTGCCAGATCAGGCCATGGGTGGGGGCATGGATGTACTATTTCTAAAACATCTGCTTCATCTGAAGTCCCCTCTGCTGTTTCATGCCTTTCACCTTGTCTCTAATACTAAATAAAATCCTGCTTACTCTCGGGGTTCCCAATTTAGTTTTGCCCGACGCTACTACTTTCTTAACTATTTTTTTTAAGTTAACCAGAGAGCAAGAGGGGAAAAATTACCCCAAAGAGTTTTAATCATCTTACCCCTAACGGGAAGAGACAGGGATAACTGTCCTGTGCCGACTTGGCTGGGAAGAGAAAATAAAAAGGGGGCGTAAAAGGGTGATAACCCGCCCAAACAAGTAGAAAGCGAACAGCCAGGCCCCAATTTCGGGATGTTCAGAGCCATCTCAGCTCAGCAGAGACCTCTCGGACGCTCGGGCAGGTGCTCCAGGCGGGCGGGCAGGCACGGGATGGCCGCAGGTTGCGGGATCGCCGCGGGGATCCGGGGTGCCGGTGCCCTCCCCTGCCCTCCTGAAACCACGGCTGACGATTTCGGCAATGCCCACCGTGAATTAAGCAAAACAAGATGGGCCGGGGGAGCTCGGGTTTGACATCTGCATTTAAGTTAATTCTAACTTGGTCCCCTTCTGTTCGGCTGTCTGGCCGAGCAAGCAGGGAGAAGTACCCTGGATCCCTGGGAACAACCAATCCAGAGCCCCGCACATCTTCCTGGGGCAGAAAATAAAAGGGGGATCCCGTCTCGCTGTCATCTGAGCCCCGCACTGGGTTTTAGGACTCCTGATGCTCCCCGGTTTTGGAGCGCTGCTGCCTAGCTCTAGCTCCAACCTTCACTGACTGGAGGAGACCGGGAGGAGGACAGAGAGGAAAAAAATAAATTTAATATCAAGTGCTAGCAACGGGGCATAATGAAAAGATTTGCTAAAAACAAACAAACAAACAAACAAGCAGGGGTAAAGTGGGAGAGAAATAGTCACGGTTACCTTTGTGCTGCTACGTTTGCATCCACAACCCCAACGTTTCTGACCCAGGACCTGACGGAATCCATCTCAGAACCTAGAGATTTATCTTTCAGAATTGGTCCTCTTCCTAAAGTATCTTGAATTCCAAACATTTAAAAAGTCTATGCAAACTAGCAACAGTTTCCTTTTGGGAGATAAGGGAGAAGGAAAAAAAAAGAAAAACAAGACGACGCAGCCTTTGAATCTGACACACAAATCCCAGGAAAGTGAAGTTCAGCTTTAAAACCAACTTCTCCTGCTTTTTAACGTTTCGTGTTTTTAACGCCTTCAAACGGGGAAGAAAGTTTTTCCTCTTGCCAAGTAAAAGTTACGCTGATTCAGTCTCGCCTGGTATCATCATCCTTCACACGCAGACGAGGGAGCCGCATCCAGAAACCGATCGCCGCTAACGAGGATCACCTGTTCCTCAAACAGACAACGGGGAGAAGGATTGATTGCTGCCTAATCCAGGAAGAAGGAAGGAAGGAAGGAAGGAAGGAGGAAGGGGGAAAAGCCACGAGCCGTGGGGTAAATTGCAGAAGCGAGGCAGCCGCGGAGCTGGAGCGCGGCCGGTCCCGCCCGGCCCTTCCCGCGCGCCATCAATGGTTACACGGGCGGCGCGGGGGGCGGGGCCCAGGCCACATAAGGACATCTCATTTGCATCTCGCACCGCCATTGGCTGAATGGTGAGGCCGCGCCCCGCCCCCGCGCGGCTCCGGGGTGGAGGGCGCGCACCCGGGCAGGGGAAGCGCGGCGCTGTCGCGATCGGGCTGTCGCGATGGGGCTGTGGGGATGGGTTATGGTCACAGCCCGGCAGCCCCACAGCGAGCGGTGCTGCCCCAGACCGTACAAACCGTGCCAAAGCAGCGGGACCGGGCTGGAAACAGCGCGCCCGCCGCACACCCTGGCACAGCTGGAGCACGGGCAGGGGAACCGCGAGTTTATCGTGATGGGTTTATCGCCACAGCCCGGCAGCTCCACACCAAACTGCCCCAAACCTCACAAACTGTACTAAAGCTGCGGGACTGGGCTGCAAGGAGCACGCCCGCCGCCGGCCTCGCGGCTGCCGAATTCCGGGCAGGGGAGCAGCGGTTTATCATGACGGGCTATCGCGATAGGTTATGGCCAGGCACCGGCAGCCTCCCACCGAGCAGCGCTGCCCCAGACCGCACAGAGTGCGCTGAAAGCGCGGGGCCGGAGCGGGAGGAGCGCGCCCGTCCCGGGACAGGCGGAGCCGGGCACGGGAGCCGCGGCTTCATCGCGGGGTCCCGGCAGCCTCGCCCCGACCCGTCCCGCCCCAGAGCAGCCAAACTGCGCTGAAAGCAGCGAGCTCTGTCCGTCTGACCGCGCTGCGCTGCCACAGCCGCCGCACGGGCAGCGGCCGCTTCGCTCTCAGGCGCGGGATTTAAAATGAAAAATTGCCCAGAGGGAGAGAAATGGGTCTGGGGGAGGATGGAGGCAGAGGCTGCCTGCGGGGCAAGAGCCAGCCCAAGACTGCCAGGCACCCAGCAGACTCCAAAGTTACACCCTGAGAGCTGTCAGGTCTCACCTTAAAACTTTTTCTAACATCCCATGTAGGCAGCATTTCCCATTAAAGGAAACCGGAGCTCTGCCCAGCCTGGCCCGCGGTGACCCGAGACCATACCTACGTCTGCATTTATTTTAGTTTATTTCTTAAAACTGCCCTGCCGTGGCGATATTTTCCTCCTGGCCCTTTTGTATTCTGATCTGTGTACAGATCTGCCTCTGAAATCTATATAACACCAACTCGAAAACAGATTTCAAGACAATGAATGCAAATCTGTGCTCAGAGACCATCTGCCAGATGAGGGAATCAGATGTTCGGTAGTTAAAGGCACAGCGCAAGGATTCAAGGATTTCCTTGACTCATTATGTGCAGCTCCTCTCTTTAACCTGCTTGATTTTTTTTTTAAACGGGATCGAAGTATAATTTCCATTTCCAAATAATTCGGAACTCCTTCCTTCCGCGTTCAGCCGCGATTCAAAATGCCACCTATTAAATGCAAGATTATTTTCACGGAGTTTTATACAGTTCTCTCCAAAAACAATCTCAAATTAAAATCTTCCCATGAAACTTTCATTAAAATGTATCCTTAATTCAGGCACGATTGAGGGCAAAGCCAGAACTCAGATTTATTCTGTCTACATAAGTGACAGACATGGTATTGGATGAACTAATACATCTCACCCAATCTTTGTTCAAGGAAATTCGCCGTGCTAACCCACCTCCCCAAATTGATAAATATGCAGGAAATGATTTTGCCAGGTTAGCAAAAGGCGAGGTTGGCGTTATTTTAACATTAGAGAAAAGCAACAGCAGTTTGACGGAGCTAGAGGGTGGAGGTTAATCTTTCAAGATATGATCTTAGCACCTCTGAGATGCATTTTCTCTGTATTAGAAAGCCCAAACAGGGCAAGATTTTTTTTTTTAATACTTTAAAAAAGTGAAAAACCAGAGCATGTAAGATAAATATATCGGCGATGATAAGGCATATTATAGCGGGGCTTTTTTACCGTCTCGCAATAGGCGTGGATACATTTCCTCGAATAAAAGCCCCCTCTTCGTACTAAGGTAATTTCTGGCAATACCGCTCCCACCGTTCCTACGTTTGTCCTAAACCCTAGGCAGGGGCGAAAGGGGAGGGGGCGGAATTCCCTCTCGCCGCAACCTTGGCCGATGCGCTCCCAAGGAGAGAACGCTCCCTGCTAACCCGAGCCCATCTCCCCTGGAGATAAAGCCGAGCCTATCCCCGCAAGGTCGGGTCCAACCCGGCCGCTCTGTGAGCCCCAGGCCGGCGGCTGCAGCCCCGCGAACAAAGGGGGCTCGTGTGCCGTGGCCCCGGGGGACCCCGCTCGCAGGGATTCGTGCGGGTCAGAGGCCACCAGCGCAGGTCAGGGAGAAGCGCTCCCTTCGCCCCAAGCAGCTGCCGCCAGAATTCGGCACTCGGGGCACAGATGCGGGAGCATCGTCCCCTCCCGGCCCCGCGGGAGCTGCGGCCGTGGGCTGCCCCCTCCCCACGATCGCGGGGGGCCTGGGCAAGGGCGGGGGAGCTGGCCCGCTCCAGGCAGGGGAAGCGCCTTCGGGGACAGAATTTGGTCCCCCAACCAAGTTTCTCGCCTTTAAGATACGCTGCAAAGGCACAGGAGTCCTCGAATACTTCGGAAATTATAGACTGCTAACCTAGACTCCCCGTTTCAAGCCCAAACTGTAGTTAAACCAAGCGAAAAGCCCATCGCTCGGACTCTTTTGATGCAAATTCACTCCGGGGAAAAAAAAAAAAAAAAGAAAAGAAAAAAAAAAAAAAAGAAAAGAAGCAGTGTTTATACCCGTGCGACCGCCGATAAATCTGGATTTGCACTTTAGAGGTTTGCGCAGTTCGGCTCGGGGAGTCGGATCCACCGGCAGGTAAAGGGCACCGCGGAACTCCGGGAGGGAAAACAACCCCAAAAAACCCTCCAGCCCCCGGGAAAGCGCGGGGAGAGTCCAGCAGAGCATCTGCCGAGCCGCAAATACAATTGCAGCTACAAACGGGAGCCGAAGGTTTGGGAAGGGGCTCCGGAGCCAGAGGCGGCGGGAGCGGCTCCGACCCCGCGGTGCTGCGGGCGGAGGGAGAGGAAAGGGCTCCGGACCGGGCACTCCCCGCACCCCCGGGCTCGGGGGTCCCTCCCGGCCGCCCCCGAACTCCCACAGCTTTCCATCCAGCGGGGTTCATTCTGCCAAACGCTTCGGGCGATTTTCTTCTCGGACTAAAAGAGAAAGCGCAGGGTGGGGGGTGGGGGGTGTGAGAGGGTGGAAAGCAACTGGTTCGGTGAGTGCTGATCATTTCCTCCTGGAGGAAGAGTTATTCCCCTCCAGATTGCCGCACTCGTTTCCACATGCAGGGGTCAAAATGACAGGTGAGGCAGATTTGACGTGGTAGAGAGAGATGCTTGTCTTTGTTAGCAGGTTTTTAGCAGCGTCGTTTCATACACCGGAGTCAACTTTCACTCCTCGGCACATCTCACCAACTCCCAGCAGGAAGAAAGATGGAGAGAAGATAATATTTAACCCATTTAAAAGCATAACCTTTAACTACTATTATTTCCTCTCACGTTTAAGGAGAGAATGCCAGAAAAAAAAAAAAAAAGTGAACTAATCCTAAAGACGACACTTGGAAGGAAACATTTAATTCTTGTTCCTATTCATTTGTGAGAATTCACCAACCTTCAGGTGCCTCAAGGGAATGAATTGGAGGTTAAAATTATGAGTATCAGAATGGAGAAGGACAACTAATATATTTTCCTCTTTATCCACTAATCTCACTGGAAGGTTCATTTTTCCAGTACACCTGTACCAGAAAAATAAATGTGCCTTTTAGAAATGTTTTCTTAAGCTGGTAACAGCTTCAAGTTCTGAGTCATGTGTTCAAGCACACATCAATTGTACTTTGGGCAATACAGTAACGGTATTTACCAAACAAAGAAGTCCCCGAAAAAAACTTTCAAGAGCCGAACATCAGCATAAACAAAATATTTACTTGCATGGGATAGCTTGCAGCTTGTGACAGAAATGTGGCTACAAAAACCAGGAGCAGGCTGAGTCCTAAGCTGTGGAATGAGGAGTGTGAGGAGGGCAGTCAGAGCACTGCATACAGAACCAGAGCAGAAAACTGCTCCAGCTGATGCAAGACGACTCCGGATTTACAAGACTCTCCATTTAACTAAAATAAAAACATACAAAAGGAAAAATTCTTATTAACAGGGGAGGTTTAAAGTGGTTCAGGTGGGAGCAACTAAATCCTGAAAGCAACTTGAGTTCTTAACGGTGGAAACTGCAAAACAGGGTCTAAAGTGTTGCAGTGCTTTCCGTTATATTTATTATAAACCTGGTTTTATACAATCAACACATTTCTCAGAAGAGAACTCTTCATGTGATTGCTAGAAAAAGTTGAACTCCCAAGTATAAAACAATAGATCCTCATCACAGCCTCCCCAGGCCATCAGTAAAAAAGCAGAAACTCGGGTTTATAGCTGGAAAATTGTGAACCCTACCTGGTCTCTGCCTCTTTCTCTCCCCCTTCCCTCTGGCACCATAAAGGCACTATTTACTGGA